ATTGTTCTAAGCTTGTTGACCATTACACCACGTCGGGATATCTTGATATTCTAAGCGTAGATTAGATGTGGCAGAAGAAAGTGTGGAGCACCCAGTGAGGAGCGAACTCACTAATCGCTCCTAATAGATATAGCCAGACAGGATACTAACCATTACACTACGTCGAGGTGCACTTGATGCTAAAAGCGTAGCACAAGACCGAACGTATGAGGCGCCCAATGAGGCTTTCTGCATTCACGTTTATGTCTTTTATTATAATATATTGCTAAATTTGTTAAGTTCATATATTTGCCGATAGAATACGGTAATTTTGTGGGCATTTTTTGTCATAGAACTCGCCATGAACTTATTCAATCATTAACTTAAGAATTAAGATTATTCAATCATTAATTTAAGAATTAAAATTATTCAGTCATTAACTTAAGAATTAAGATTATTCAATCATTAACATAAGAAGTGAGATTATTCAATCATTAACATAAGAAGTGAGATTATTCAATCATTAACTTAAGAATTAAGATTCATCAAAAAATTCATATATAAAAACCGTGAAATTTTCACGGGTATTTCTTGATAACTTTCATCTTTTTCTGGATCCGGCTATAATCGTGATTAAGGAATAATGACATTTAATGTCAAATGTCAGTCTTTCGTCAGTTTGCTAAGACTTGTCTTTTGACGCAGTCTGAGATCTTTTTTTTTATATTTTTTCTTTCTTTTAACGAGTGAGATGAATAATAGAAATCTTTATGTGAACTTTGAAGTCGTTGTACTGAATGCTATTTCTGTATTTCTGGAAAGAAAGATGTTCGAAAAGATGGACGGCACAAAATTTTTAATCACGGTGAGTTCATTTGCATATTTGAAGACGTCAGAAGAAGTCTAGGTTGGCATATAAAGTAGTTCGGTGCTTCGCTAGCATAAAATGGATTGACGACAGCCAAGCAGAAGTTGCAAGAGGAGAGAAAGAATGAAGGAGAAATACGCACAAGAAAACGAAAGGAAAGAAAAAAAAATAATCTGAGATGAAAGGTAATTGAAAGAGGAAATGTAACTGAATGAAATAAGAAAGATAAAGAATGAAAGCAGCCAAACTGTGAATAAAAACAGACAAAAAAGTAGAGCTTTCAAAAGAATGAATAGAAAATTGAGAAAAAAACACGTGAATAAGTAAAAAGTAAAAGGAAAGAAAGGATGAAAGAATGAAGGAAGTTGTGAATTAATAAATATAGGAAATCAAGCAAATAAAAGAAAAAGAAAATAAGGAATAAGCGAGAGCTAAAAAAAAAAAAGGGCCAACGAATGAACGAGAGCGAAAAAGTGAGAAAAAGTAAATGCAAAAAACGAAAGATGGAATGAAAAAGAAAAGGTGAAGCAAAAAAAATGAATGGAGGAAGGAAAGCAAAGAAAAATGATTGCAGGAAGGAAAGCAAAAGAAAAACGAATGAAAATGAACGAAAAAGAACCGCAAAGAAAAATGAAGGAAAGAAGGAGAGGAAAGAAAAACGAATGAAAGAATAAAGCAAAAACAAAAAACGAATGAAGAGAGGAAAGCAAACAAAAAACAAATGAAAGAAGGAAAGGAAAGAAAAAAGAATGAAGGGAGGAGAGGAAATGAAAATGAATGAAAGGAGAAAACCAAAGAAAACCGAATGAAAGAAAGAAAAGAAAAACGAATGAAAGAAGGAAAGCAAAGTAAAATGAAAGAAGGAAGAAAGTAAAGAAAAACGAATAAAGGAATGAAAGCAGAAAGAAGAAAAAGCACCACTAAGAAAATAATCGAAAGAAAATACCGAATAATGATCGAAAAATTGGATGCAATTGATGATAGTAATTCTTGTCTGCAAACAATGAAATATTAATTCCGCTTTAAGAAGTGCAATCGATGAATAATCAGGACTAAATTTTATGTTGACTCCTGATTAAAAATCAAAAGCAAAGGAAGTAAAAAAACGTTACAAATCTCTTCATCAAAAACAGAAGCACGTAATTATAAATGAAAAAGAAAAAAAAAACATCCCGTGCTTTGCCATAACCTATACCGAGAAATTCCCTTTTATGGCATCTCTCAAGAAAGCCGACCTGATTTGATAATGTCTCATTCACTCTCCATAGTCTCTGTGGCCAAAATGGTGATGGCACGCTTCAGCTAAGAAAGCAGTTACCCGGTTGAAGAAAAGGAATATACGTTCGATTACTATCGCAGACACAATTCCTCTTTCTTGGCACTTGTCAATTTAGATCGGTTGTTATTAATTTTCCCTGTTTATGGAGAAAAAAAAAGAAAAAACGGGGTCAGCAGCCAAACACATCTACACTGTAAAAAATAACGTTTAGGGCTATGAGAAATATATGAATATGTATGTATATATGTATGTATCTCTCTCTCACTCTCTCTCTCTCTCTCTCTCTCTCTCTCTCTCTCTCTCTCTCTCCCCTATATATATATATATATATATATATAAGGCAGGATGTGTGTGTGTGTGTGTGTGTGTGTGTGTGTGTGTGTGTGTGTGTGTGTGTGTGTGTGTGTGTGTGTAACGAATGCACGGCCGCAATTTTCCACGGATTTTCACCAAAATTTACATGCACATGCTCCAAGTTAGCGGGAAGGCCAACACCGAATTTGCATTTCCCAACTCCCATCGATAGTGAAAATAATAATCGATATTTTTATGCTTCTACGGCAGTTTTCATGTAGTTTGCGGCCATTTTCTACTGGCCAGAGTGAGAGCCTATAGCTGGCTGCCACGAATAGGCAGGAAGATTCTATTGGCCAGCGAGAGAGCCAACAGCTGACTGACATGAATGTTAACTAACAAGCTAGCATGAAAAAAAAAATCGACAGCTGCATTCGTCACAAGTGGGAAAAATTTAGATCTGCATGGCACTTTACTCCAATTGGCTGATTTGCATGCTTAAACTCAACGTTGATTCTGATTACACAGAACTGGGTTAGGTGTGAAAAAGTATTTGTTGTTAACATTCTTTTTTCATTCAGTTTTTCCCGTTATGTGTCGTTTTTTAAAGCTGATCGTTTTGTGTTCATTTTGTTTAGTTCTTTTTTCGTAACATTTAATGTTTAATATAGAGCTTAGAAAAAATTCGCAGTGTGAGATAGGCAAGAAGTAAGGCATGTAGCAACATCAGCATGGCAAAGGGCACTTCTTTAAAGGCAAGGAAGGGCAAAAATATTTTAAGTTAAATGATAGCGATTGCTGTGTGAGTCGTACGATTTCTTGAATCAAGCACGGCAACGCCGGACCATGCTGTTAGTATATATATATATATATATATATATATATATATATATATATATATATATATATACCCTTTGACTGTTATCGTCGTATAGCAAACAAATATGTAAACGCAACAGGAATAACCACCCGAGGAAGGCTGATGTGAGCTAAAAGTTTAGATCGATGAGGAGCATAATAAAGGAATATCCAAATGTTGGACACTTTTTATTTTTATTTTCTCCTAAAACTTCAACCATTATACGAAGCTTGGTCATTCGTTGTCTGTTATATTTAACGATATATGTCTGAATAATGACCTGCTGCCTCTATACACTAAATTCATCACACACACACACACACACACACACACACACACACACACACACACATATATATATATATATATATATATATATATATATATATATATATATATATATATATCCCATGAAGAGTGTACGTTGCGGTTGCTGGAGGGTTCGTCTACGAAACTTTAGATTCGCGATGCTGAAGGCAGCATCAATCAACTAAGTGACAAATTTTACATTTGTGTTAAATTTATATATATATATACATATATATATATATATATATATATATATATATATATAATTATTTTTTTAAATATGATTCATCGCTACATAACAGACCTCATGTTTCAAAAGCAGAAACTAAAAACTACAATTTAATTATTGAAATTAAATTGAATTAAAGTACCCAGCTCTGTTTCATCCTCAAGCGAATTTTGGAATAACTAATCTTGAAATTTACGGAGCTTTATAAGCATATACATTCGTAATATTAATTACTATGGAAACGGTGAAACCAATAATTTTAATAATTGGCGTAAAGGTTTTACATTTTCATTGACAACTATTGTATCAACATATTAGTTACATTCGGAAAGAAGTTGAGTCAAGGTAGAGTCGTGGTGCCTATTTTCAAACGAATGATGAAATCCATTCAACGCATGTCGTCTGGTCTAATTCAACGACAAAAAGTTTTTGGCACTTTTTGTTACGCCGTCAAATCTGTATTTGTATACCTAAAGATTTTTATTTTATTATTAACCTAACGGTTCTTTCCTATTTTTCTATATATTTGCACACACACACACACACACACACACATATATATATATATATATATATATATATATATATATATAAAAGTGAACATAGAAGTCAACACTTAAAGGATTTGGATTCAAATTGGATTGAATTATCATACATACACATAAAATGGCCGGTTACTTATTTCCAAGCACATTCGGCTAAGGCGGCTAGCCAAACCTTGCTACATGCATAAGTTCAGGAATATGTGTGTTCCTGAACTGGGGCTGCTGAGTGATGTTGCTGAATGTATAAATGTAGGTTCTACATTGAACACCATCACTTGATAAGACACCAGAATGTTGAAACAAAATGGCTATTTTTGTAGTGATTTTATAACATATTTATGTTATAATTTTCGAATAAATGATTATATTTGCTCTACTCTGTATTAAGCACTCTTTTACGAATAATATTTTTTGGTCATTGGAATTTATTCCGAATACGCCAATCCTATACTTGAGTATATATATATATATATACATATATATATTATTATTATTATTATTATTAGGGGGAGGAGGAGGATTTGAGTTAATTATAATTAAGTAATTCAGGCTTTCTGCATTCTATTGAGGTTTCTTCCAGACTCAATGAATTAATTATAATTATCTCAAATCCTCCTAATAATTTATACTTGTATATCATTGCTTGAACCGGCTTCTAATGTTCTGGACGGAGCGGCTTGAGGATAGTAGTCGTGGCTCCTGGGGGTACAGTCCTATGGGTAAGGGAATCTCGGATGAGTTCCACTAGGGAATATTTGATCGAGCGGCGCTATGTCAAGTCTAATTCGCTACCTCTTCGTCACCGTGGCCCGTTGGTATGACGTTTGTCTGATAACGTAACTGTCCGGGTTTGAATTCTCGGTAGTGGATGCGCATTGCTGATGAGTCCCAAATATGGAACGAAACGGCCGTCCAGTGCTTTCTGCATTCTGTTGTGGTTTCATCTAGACTCGATGAATTACTTAATTATAACATACATATATATATATATATATATATATATATATATATATATATATATAGCGAAATATTATCTTTCTAAATCTAATGAATATGCTTTTACAAGACGTACATTAGTTTCTTGTTTGTGTTTTATTCTTTCCCGAATTTAATTAAGTTGGATATAATTTAATTAGAATTAAATTCACGGATCAGAAAAGATTCCTGAAGTTCAAGCACAGATATTGATTGGCAAGTAATGAAAATGCATTAGCGAATGCATTATAATAATAGACATTTATCAAAACCAGTCGAAATCACGGGTAAATATATAACGAAATAAAGATTTTTCAGCATGAACCCACTTAACTTAACCAAGCATCAATTTCTACCTAATCTTTACTCGCCTCTATTCCTATCGGAATCCAATCCCCAAACAATCTTAACATGGCTACCATTTTTATTTATTTATTCATTTATTGAATTTCCAAATGCAATTAACTGTTCTCTGAAATCCAGCAAGCATCTGACGAATTTTCTTTTTGAACTTATGAATGGTTTTGCCAGTAACTTTCCCATCCTTTTTTTAATATGTCAATGACATGTTATTGTTAAAAGTTATAAATAATCAAGCGATCTGTTTGCATCATGCGAAGTAAACACCAACGTATTTTGGAAATGAATATAGTATTTCGTAATATAGAAATCAAACTTTGTACGGTACACAGTTACAATATATAGTGCACCAAATAAAGATCAAATTCATTACATTTAAAGTTGTCTTATAAGGTCTGGTTTAGTTTGTTTTGTTTTATGGCATATCAATCTCAATGGTTTATGTAATACCGACAATTTTTTTTTATTGCTGGTAATATTTTTTCGAAAAATGTATTGCTGGTAATAATGTATTTCTGGTAGTAATTTTTTACAAAAAATGATTTCTGATATTAAAACCTATTTTTAGTTTCATAGTATTTTGACCCCAGTTAAAGGGCTAACTATTTGCCATAACTGAAACTCGAACAGGTGCTACCACACCGGGTTAAGCTGGACCTGGGAACACTAACAGTTAAGAGATGGTTCGTCACTCTTCAAAACCTCCCGATTAGAGGACTTGCTGTTGGACGTAGTTTATCGTCTTACCCAGGATGCGGTGCTTTTTAAGACTAACTTTGACAAGCTCAGACCTCCTTACGCACAAAAAATGGTGGGGTTTTGCGCCGTTATTATTTTAATTACCTGTACTCCTCGGCCATGTTTATTGTTTTCAAAAGTAATTATCAGAATTCTAATAACAGTTTCTTACTTCTCCCCTTCACACTCTTTCAACCTCATTCAGTTACCAGAAATACATTTTCGAAGAAAATTATTACCAACAATAGAGTTTTAAAGGAAAAATTGTTACCAGAAATACATTTTTATAGGAAAAATTGTTACCAGCAAAATACATTTTTATAGGAAAAATTATTGCTGGCAATGCTTTTGTTACCAGCAAAATACATTTTTATAGGAAAAATTATTGCTGGCAATGCTTTTGTGGGGGAAAAATTATTGCTAGCAATACATTTTTAAAGGAAAATTAATACAAACAAAATATTACCATCAATATATTTTTGGAAAAATATTACCTGCAATATATTTTTGGAAAAAAATATTAGCTGCAATAGATTTTTGGAAAAAAATATTACCTACAATAGATTTTTGGAAAAAAATATTACCAGAAATAGATTTTTGGAAAAAAAATATTACCTGCAATAGATTTAAAAAAAAAAATTACCTGCAATAGATTTTTTAAGAAAAATATTACCAGAAATAGATTTTTGAAGGGAAAAGACATCGCTAGCAATACTTACTATGAAAGTGTAAAAATAGGTTTTAATGCCAGAAATACTTTGTAAAAGAATTGTTACCGGCAATACATTATTACCAGCCATACGTTTAAAAAATATTACCAGCTATACATTTTTGGTAATAAAAATATTACCAGCTATATATTTAGAAAAATATTACCAGCTGTATATTTTGGAAAAAAAATATTACCAGCTATACATTTTTTGAAAAAATATTACCAGCTATACATTCTTTGATAAAAAAAAATATTATCAGCGATACATTTTTTGAAGGAAAAATATTACTAGCATACATTTTTGAAAAAAATTATTACCAGACATAAAAATTGTCGGGATTAAATAACCCATTGAGGTTGATATGCCGCAAAACAAACGAAATCAAATCAAACCAAACCAATATTCAAATTTGGAATTGCTCTGCCTGTATTAGAAATCAGCATTCGATTTTTTATTGGAAATCCTACTCTTGTGAATATATGCTTAGCCAATATCAAATATATTCGAAATACATCGCCATGGAAGCCTGTTTAGCGCGCTAGTCTTCCTGGTCACTACTAAAGGAATCATTCCCTAAGTGACTCCACTTGTTATCACGAACCAGACCTTAGTAAATATTAAGACGTGTGCTTGCTGGAATTTCACGTCAGTATAAATATTGGTAATTTCAAGTGACCTCTTAGTAATCTAGAATCAATTTCAAGTTATTCCGGTAGGTGTAGCCTGAACATGATTTCATATTACCCCTGCACTATTCACATTGCCACCCACCGACTGAGATAAAACCATAAATAGTCAGGTAACGTGTGAAATGTTTATTGAATAAGACACACCTTAATATATGAAAATTAAAAAAGAACATTTCTAATCGTGTTTCATATTAAAACCACTCAATCACGTGTTCATAATGCAGGACGCACTTTGCGCACGCGCATCAGAATTCAATTTCCACTAGCATCCAGCATGGTACCAGTTCGGATAAAAGAAGAGACAGACAAGAGGAGAACGTGCTGATGACGTCAATGAATGGACTTAAATATCATTCATGGCTGGAGGTGGTTATGTTCTCACCCGATCATGAGATGGTTATTGATTTGTTTTTTACGGTTTATCAACCTTTTACAGGTTATTTATAGCCAGAAAATATTTCGGGATTGTAAGAATTTTTTTTTTTTAAGATAATAAGTCACTGATACAATTTCCTATTATTTAACCTGAAGGGCAGAAGAGGTGGATTGAAACCTTTCCCAAGGGTATCTGCGTATAAGCAAATATAAAGAACCAGACTGGAATTGGAAAAATTGGCGCAGCATGATCTTTTTTGCTATATTCATAGCCATATCTACCAATAAATATGAAAACAACCGGCTAGCTCTATGAATAAACAGATATGAACAGGAAGGGGTAAATATTTTTTTTTTTTTTTAATGATTTCACCCCAAGGAAGGCGATAATGCCACTGGATCGCAAGAGCATACTGAGCATGGAATGGAATAAGAATATTTTATTGATGAGAAAAGACAATAAAAAAACATGATTCAGGAAGACGGAAGATAGTGATTGACATTGAATTTAATTTTTTTAAATTGTAGGTTACATTGATGCAAGAAACGGGAAGAGAGTTCCAAAGGAGAAAAAGTTCGAGAAAAGAAATGGTTAGAATATAACTTAAAGTTACATCCAGTTGCCAATCGATGAGACCTAGTAGCCAATCTAGTAGTAACCTTCAATTCACACGGTTGCGATACCAAGGAAGAGAGTTCATTAAAACAACTGACATGAACATATTTATAGAAAAGACAGAAAGAAGCCAGGCCATGATAGATAGATAGATAGATAGATAGATAGATAGATAGATAGATAGATAGATAGATAGATAGATTGATTATTGGAGCACCATGCCAAGTATCATTTCTTCATAGTTTCTCTTGGAGGTGTGTAGAAGTCTTAGTGGTGACTATTTTCTCTTCTACTAACATGCAACAGGCTATACCGAGTAACACGTTACCAACTCTTTTTCCCTGGTGCCCGGGCAGCGTGAGTTTAAGTATGCTACTAGATTGGCATCTAGGTCCCACAATTTTACTGTTGAATTAGTAAAATGTAACCGCCTTTTCTACTCTAACAGTTTATTTTCTCGCACTTCCTTTTCTTCCCTGATAACTCAGTCAATTATGTGCTATACGTGATACAGGCGAGGCAAATTTTTATTTTTTGCCGCAGTAGGACGCCATTTATTTCTGCAGTAGACCATTTGCCATCCAAGGCTACAGAATTCGTCCTGAGTCCGGCTACTTAACCATAGCTGGGGCGTAGGATTCATACCTTTCCTAGGGGGATTAGCACATAAGTGAACGTAATGGATTCGACTGGAATTCGAACTCGGAGAGCTGAGTTCGAATTCCAGTCGAATCCATTACGTTCACTTACGTGCTAATACCCTTGGGAAAAGTATAACTGATAACTACAATCTTCAAAAATTTAAGTGCAACGTCAATCGCCATCTTCAATCTTCTTGAAGCCTGTTCAGCTTTTATCCTTTCCTCGGTTCCCCCTTTACCCAAGTCTTTTCTCTCAACTTCTCTTCCTGTTACCCACTACGTACTAGTAGCATTACCGCCTTGCTTGAGGTGAAATGATTAAAAAATAAAAATAACTATTCCTCACTTGACCTATAAAAATAGAGGGTTTCTTAATAAGTGAAGACGCCTATTTTCAGCTTATCACTCTTTCTGATCTTGGATCTGCCCACCCTCTACACTTTTCTTAATTCTTTTTTCGGCTCCAATACTTTTGATAGGAAAGAAAAAATGCGTTAAGTCACAAATTTTACGAATGAGCGAAAGTTCCATCAATACTTCACGCGAAGATGAAGAAGCCAGGCCAAGTCACGCTGACACTTTTTCAAATTTTGATGTTCTTTTGGGCTTCACTATTTTTTACTATTATTATTCTTTACATTTTTTTCTATCTTTTTTTTCTTTTCAATTTATTCAAGAAACTAAACGTTGAGCCCTTTTGCGTGTAGAAGTGCTGATCCACTATAAGATATTGATTCTCAGCGTTTTTTTTCCTTACACTCTTGATTTTACATTCCTTTACATAGAGAGAGGAACAAAAACAGAATGATTTTTATCTTTCCATTTGTTCCCTCTCTCACTCTCACTCACTCTCTCTCTCACTCACTCACTCTTTATCTTTTTATTACTCACTCTTCGTTCCTTTGCTATCCGAAATATTTCATTTCTTATTGGCAAGAATTCTTCATCTTATTCCACTTAGCTGCGTTCTTCAAAACAACTGTTTATCAAGAATTAATCTTGACAGATACTTACAATAATTATAACGCCAAATGGCTGACCAGGCCTCACGCTTTACAAAATGGCGTCCTTGATTATTTTTTCGATTCGACATTTTCTTTATTTTTCCGTATTTTTTATTTTTTTTTGCTTTCATCAATTTTTACGATTACAAAATAAATAAATCGAAAAGGTTCTAATGAAAGTTTTTCCTTTTTAAATTATTTAAATAAATTTTTGGTGAACATCTGATTCGTGTATATATATATATATATATATATATATATATATATATATATATATATATATATAATATTATAATATAAATATACATACAGATGCAAAATATATAAATATATATACATATGTGCATACACATACATGTATATTTTTGAATAAAAATTCCAAGAGAATAGAATCCAGGTAGAACTCAATGTCTTTTATTATATATATATATATATATATATATATATATATATATATATATATATATATATATATATATATATATTATTATTAATAGAAATTTTATAAGTATAAGAAACTATACTCCTTCCCTGACGATCCGCTTGTGTGAAACCTTGGTAGGTTTGTCTGGCTCTCTAGGTTTAACTATATATATATATATATATATATATATATATATATATGAAATGGACTAAGTCCGATAATTTACTTTAAGATACGCTTCGAGCAGATATGATCGTTCGAGAGAAATCATCGGAAATTTTTAGTTTAAAAGCAGTAATTCGACTTTGCTAACCAGACGCTTCTTCTGTAGCTAAACGGTATAGCACGTCACGGTATATGACAGCTCCATGTAGGATACAGGTTCGATTCTTGTCGGAGGACAGAATGTTGACTTCAGTGTTCACTTCCATATTTATATACGCTATATCTCTGATATTGATCACTTTGTCTCATGGATATAGCACAACTTGAAACTATATTTCTTCAATACTTCATTTTTTCAGAAATGTCTCTGAGGATCAGGTTCCCGCGTTGGTACTTCCCTGAATACTACAATCTTAACTTCAAGTTAAAAGTCACTCGTCATCTATCCTAATAATCTTCACTTCTTACCACCCCCTATTTCATTCATATCATATCCCTTATTCATCATTATTATTTTAACAATACCTACCTATATTAAGTGGCTCTCGGGTCTTGTATTAGGTGAAGTATTAAATGTCAGTGCATTGAGTGCAGTGTAAAATACATAAGCATAACAAATAGTATATCTCTGTCGACAAAAATGGCGATAATATTAATTACGTATTTGACGAAATATAAGGCGTACTTTTTATTCTTTTTTTTTTTAATAAAATAACTTTTAAAAATTCCCCTCAGTCTTATATGCCATAGGTAGGTTTAAAATTCGCAATAGTCGGCCGAAATTAGCTATCTGATCATTCCTGATAACTTCCGGTTGCATTGGTATAACTACAATCAGAATTTTTATATCCTAATTATCCATTAAGACGTTTTCAAGACGCAGATTTTTATAGGCTCGTGTTCTTTTTTCCTATTATTTTTCGTTTAATTGTAATCACGGCTTGTTTAACCAAAATAATACCTCATAAATATAGCCTAGGCTGTACCATTTACTAATAATTTTACTAATTACTAATTTTTTCTTGATTTGCTCTTCTGAAATTGGGGTGCGTTTTATACACCCGTACGTCTTATATACCGTCAAATACAGTAATATGAACATAAAACCCAAGTTTCAATTTCACCACGGCCAATTAGTGAAGGAGATTGTTTCTTGATAATATCGTCATAGGAGATGATCCCAGTCTGATGTAGAGTTGGATAGGGTCGAACAAAAAGCTTTGTCAATGAATTGGGGTAAACGGAACTGTTCAGAAGCGGCCAATGGTTGTGTTAGTACATAGCCACGTACTCACCTTGTTTTGCTTTTAGGTCATGGTTGGCTGTCCAACTAGAGATAGTGTCTCGATAAAAAAAAGAGGAGACCCCATCCAGCAGCCTGGCCCCTCGTAGGAATGTCTAGGCCTGAAAAAGGCACCATGACTGAAATTCTTTAAAAAAATAAATTAAGGCAAATGATTTCACAATTTGCCACTGGGGAGGGGGATAGAATAACATATTTTATACAATCGAACGTTACTTATAAAATACTGAAAACTTATTTACACAATTTATATTCGGACTATTCTCCTCATCTTTGTTGTTTTTATCACAACGTTTCGGTCATTGTCCCCTTCGGCCTTCCTCAGGTGTATATCGATCTGGGTAACCTACTGGTAATTCTGAATTGAACCCTTTATTTAATGTACGAGGATAAACTGTTCTCGTTCCACTGCTCCTGTCTAGGAATATCGTGTTTTTTGTTTTGTTTTGTTTTTATTATTATTATTATTATTATTATGATTATTATTATTTTTTTAATTTAGTACCGTTAACTTATTGCTCGCCCGTTTCCACTGAGGGCAAGTACACGCTATCCGACCCAGGAATTAAACCACTATGTCACCAAATTCGCAAAGCAAAGCTTTTATCCACTATGCCTTGTCGCTTTGCATTTTCTTGCTTATTTTCAATTTCTTTTCAATACCATGTCCCTTCAGGCCATAGACGATTATTACTCTTTACAACTGTCTTTCATTTAACATCTACGACTTTTTGGGAAGAATCATGGAGTGAATTCTCGTAGCCGTCTCCATGGTTTTGAATTCAGAGTAGTCTTTCCCTTAGATTAAATGCCATCCAAGGCTGGAGACTACAGTCTGGTTTGATATTTAACCCATGGGGAAGGTTAAATTAATTCATACCTTTCCCAAGAACACTAGTTCGAAAGCAACTGCAACAGAGTAGGCCGGAATTTGAACTCGGGCCGCTGATTCCACATTCTTACTCTACCCGCTTATCCTTTATCCTCCATGCTTCCTGAATATCAAATTAAACGAATAACATTCTATTCAACCTGTAATAATTATGAAATTCTGTTTATCAAATTTAACACATCATAACACGCGATCACTAGATGTGAGAACGAAGAAATAAAGATACGCAATTCGGAGTGGTCTTTTCTCTGACGATGAGAAAAGGTGTTACCCAAACACAAAATATATATGAATGTACCGTGTATTGTATACATGTGTATTTTTTTTTTCAGTTGAGTGCAGCAGGTGTAGAGACACGATTCTGGATTTCTGCTGTTTCAATCAAAATAATTAAGCGAGAGTTGCAGGCATCGTAATATCAGGTGATGCATCGCAACTTCTGAAAGAAAATAAGACATTCTAAAAAACATTCTTTTAACGTATTTTTCTAGTTCCCTCCTGGTTGTAAGATAAGCACTTCCTACTTTGCTTCGTTTTCCTTTCTTTTTTTTTTATCTTTCTCGTGCTTTCTTTCACTCTATTTCTTTCTCTCCCCCTCTCTTCTTTTTTTTTCTTCTTATCCCTTGCTGATTTCTTGTTTTACTTTTCTTTTTCTTTCTCTCTTTCTTTCTTTTGTCTTTCTTGTATTCCTTTCATAACATCTTGTTTCCTTTTCCTTTCTTTCAATATTTTTCTTTTTTATCTTTCATTCCTTCTTTCTTTCTTTCTTTCTTTCGATCTCTTTCTATCTATCGCTTTCTCTCTCACGTTTCTTTCCTTTCTTGTTATCACCTGCTGACTATTTGCTTCACTTTTTCTTTCTTTCTTTCGTTCGATCGCTTTCTATCTATCGCTTTCTCTCTCACGTTTCTTTCCTTTCTTGTTATCCCCGGCTGACTATTTGCTTCACTTTTTCTTTCTTTTCATTAATCTTTTTCTTTCTTGTTTTCTTTTCATAACTTCTTGCTTCCCTTTTCTTCTTCTTTCTTTCTATATTTTCTTTCTTTTCATATTTCTTACTTTCGTTCTTTCTTGTTAGCCCCTGATAACTTCTTGTTTCTTTCTTTCTTTTTCTTTCTATATTTCCTTTTCTTTATAACAACGATAACCTTTTTTGTTTCTTTTTTTTTTCATTTTCTTTTCATTTTCTTTCTTTTTCTTTCTATATTTCCTTTTCTTTACTGTGAACAACGATAACCTTTTTGCATCTTTTTTTTTTCTTTCTATCATTTTTCTTTTCCTTTTTCTTTACTGTGAACAACGATAACCTTTTGGCATCTTTTTTCATTTTCTTTCTATCATTTTTTTTTCTTTTTCTTTCTATATTTCCTTTTCTTTACTGTGAACAACGATAACCTTTTGCATCTTTTTTTTTCATTTTCTTTCTATCATTTTCTTTCTTTTTCTTTCTATATTTCCTTTTCTTTACTGTGAACAACGATAACCTTTTGCATCTTTTTTTTTCATTTTCTTTCTATCATTTTCTTTCTTTTTCTTTCTATATTTCCTTTTCTTTACTGTGAACAACGATAACCTTTTGCATCTTTTTTTTCATTTTCTTTCTATCATTTTCTTTCTTTTTTCTTTCATTCAATTTTCTTTCTTTTCATCGTTCATTCCTACTGTTGTGTCATCCCCTGACACACAAGCACAAGAACTCACACACACACCCACACACACACACACACTCACGCATCTCCTTTC